ATTCTCTAGTGACCAGAAATATCTATATCAACATTTGTAACAATCACTGTGCTAATAACCAAATAACTAAATTGTTTTTTTCAGTCCACAACAATACAACCACTGAACCATGAAAATGATAAATGAAATGAAAAGTAGTAGAATTAGAGTTTTTATTTTGGTTTTGATTTTTCCTCTCATAGCGACGTGTCCCTCACAGGTTCTTCTTCATGTGTTCATGTGGGGCGAATACTTTTAGATGAGTGGTTGTTTACTATGGTCATCACTAGGGCTAACCTAATCTACTACTCTAACAAAAAATGGCCAATATCTGTTGGGAGTTTATTTTTTGTTACCGTGGTTTCATGATTCTTATGTTCACAATGAGAGAAAATAAAAGCAAAAAGGATCACTGTGGAAGCTGAGCTCTCTTCTCTCCTTGACTTGTCGATATTTCCATTGTCTGAGCTGCATCCAAAATACTTTCCTCAACATGACAGGGGTGGAGAGGAATAAAACAGCAGATGTGCATGCAGCATCTAGACGGGAAGAACGACATGCCTAACCAGGAACCAGTCTTTTCAGCACACAGATGGTGTTTCTGCCTCATTTCCCTGCACAATATCTTTTAAAGCACTCATACAGGAACTGGAAGTGTTCATGTGCTGGAACTGTGGTCATTGTTTGTCCATTGTCAGTTTTGGCGCCTGATTTTGACTTGACTTGATGAAATGCATGCTAGCTCATGTCACATTAAAATTATTTCATCGTGGTTGTGATTTATTTACTCTCCATTTTTATAGATTTTATTTCACATTTAGAATTTTGCTTCAGGTTTAGCTAACTTGTTGCTTGAGATTTGCAGAGAATATAGAGTCCATTGGTGTCATATTTAAAGACAAAAACTGAGGACAAAAGAGGAGACGTGTGAGTAAACACAGAGAAAGACCTTGATGTTCATATATTTCAGGGAACAGCTTCCCAATATCCCTGCGCTGCGGACTATGGGGTCCCATTTAGCAGGGAGAGGAAATGCATTATAAGCTGTGGTAACAATTGATAAAATGATGGTGGGGGCCACACCTCTACACTCCTTGTCAGCAATGTACTCCATAAAGTCATTGCCATACGCCATTACCTCGCAGGCGTCCCAGGAACCTTTCAAAGCGCCTTTATCTGGGTAAATATGTGTGTAATTTAAGCTCTTTGACACCTATCTGACACATCCAGGTATGCTGCCAAGCTCTGGGCTTGGAAAACAGGGAGGGTCCAGATGAGAGAGGAGCTAGTGGTCCACGCCAGTATCACTAGAAAAATCTCGAGTCCCTCAGCACAGATGAACAAGTGTTGCATGACATGCAGGTTCATGAAAACGCTGCCGCACACTGTAACACATGCCTTCCACACTGCCCTGCTTCTGTCTGAGAACCAGCAGGCTGTAATGTTTTGGTTTGACTGATGTGAAGCCTTCAGGAAAGCCTTTGAGCTGGGAGGAGATAGAAAGATATGGTAAGATATCAGTAGCTTTAACAGTATCCTGAAGACTCTGGATGTTTAAATTCTCTTTCGTCATTCTGTCATTCAAAAAAAAAAAAAAAAAAGCTAACCAATGCAAATAGTTTGTTTACCCTCTTTTTAGGAAATAAGACACTGGTACTTAGATGTATTAAAGCTTTTGTTGGCTACGTCCACATTAACAAATTTAAATTTAAGAAGAAAATGCTACAGAGGAAGAATAGCATTAGGCAAAAGTAAGATGAGCAGCCACTAGAATAAACAGCCTGTAATTCATTATGCATGTTGAATTAACCACTAGTAATCTAAGATGATGGATTTGTTTTCTTCTGGAAAATGTTCACATGATAAGAGTGTGATGAATTAGTGACGGGTACATAGTGACTGATAAGAAAGCGAACGTGGGTGTCTGCGTCATAACTTTCAAAATGCTGTATGTCAGGACTGAAAGACTGAAGCATTAAAAAACTTTGTTCCAGTGAACCTGAAGTGCCAGTGTAGCGTGGATGCTGGGTGTATATGTAACAGAAGTTATGTGTGTTACACTATAAACATATTAGTTTGGACATAGCGTTAGTGTCACTTTCACAAATTGTCCTTCTCCAGTCCAACACAACAGAAGGCATTCATAAGGAAAACTTCAGACGGTATCAGATTCTCACTCTAATAGCTGCTGGTAATGAAAGACAGTCTCAGGGTCTGACTGTAACGTTTTAGGAACATCAAACAGGTGATTATGACTTTGCAGCTTCCACAGCTGTCAGGTGTTTTCCCTGTAGGGCCCACTGTGTTTTCTCATTTAGAGGCTGAACAAGAAAATAAGTGTTTCTGTGACACGAGTGAAACATGGTCCTTGTGAAAGAGTTTTTTGTCATCGGCCTGCCACATGAAGAAGTCAAAGCACAGATACACCTTCAGCGCTCTTCATGTTGTTTTCGTCACTACATTTGAAAGAACGTGTCAAGACTGACCTCAATGTGTTAATCACACCTATAAATACACTACAGTTGCAGTGATGCAATTACCCGGTGACATAGAGACTTGAACAAATTCAAAATAGAGACAACAGAGGACATAAAATAGCTTTGTTGCTCACCCAAAAGAGATTTTCCTAAAGTCTGGAGGAGCCATAATTGTCCTCATACAACAATAGTGCAAAAAGGCATCTTGTGTCTCATACATATAGAACTTCTAAAGCTGTGCTCAGACAGAAAGTTGAAAATGTTTCTGTTCTGAACAGGAATGAGGAATTTCAAACTGAATTTTCCTTCTTATACCCAAATTTGAGTCGGCTCACTGGGCTTCTCTGAGAAGTCAGAAAAATAAATCGAACATAACGTGTGATGAAGAAAGACATTCTTTTATTTTGATGATGATGAACAAGGTCATTCTCTTTTCTTCTGATGGTCACCACACCCTTGATTCCACCCTCTGTTGCCGTGTGTTTTCCCATCACCTTTTGTCATGTGGTTTTCCTACCTCCTGTCACAGACCCCCGATTCCACCTCCTGTTGTTTATTGTCCCCCTTACCTCCTGCCATTTGATTAGCAACTGTATGTTAACTAACCATTATTCATTTCTGTATTTACATACAGGAATGCAAGTAAATAACTAGAATTTGACATCTTCATCAAGAAATATTAATGTGCTTTACTATTTTTTTTCTGTTTTCTTGTAAAACACAAAATTTGAAAATCTCAGAGTGCTACAAGCACCCGATAAGGGCAATTGTGGCATAAGCCTTGCAATGGGTGGTGGTCTCATGAATTTGTCAAGCACTGCCCACACACACGCACACACACACACACACAATCTCGCTCCACACTTGTGCTGCTAGCTAGATGTTTGTGGAGAAAAAGCAGAGCGCCAAAAAAGCTTAGCAGTCAAATCTGTGCAAATTACGTAGTGCTTGAATGCTTTATATTTAATCTGAACAAATGTTTGCCACAAAAAAATAGCATTTTGGGGCACTAAATGCAGAAATGTTTAAAATTTAGGGGGGAAACATGTGTAGACTAAAGGAAAAAGCCAGGGTGGGACTACATCACCCATCCCATCCAGCTGGAAACATTGCTTTTCCTCCAGAAAGGACTGGAGAATGTGACTACAGAAAAGGACATCTATGCTAACGTG